CTCGGGATGCCGACAGGAGCGAGACTGCCCAGACCTCGCGTGGATGTTTCTGGAGAGTCACGGGGCTTCCCATTTCTCCATTAATCAGCTTTGGTTCATTAGTGTGTTTTTGAAATTTGCCCACTTTGTCTAGGTTTAAAGGGTCTACTGGTGTTAAGATCGACTGTTACTCCCACATGCAAAATGACACTGCCCCCCTTTATCCCTAACCTGCCCCACCCCCCAATGGGAAGGTGGCTTTTCGAGGTCAGGAGTCCTTTAAAAAGAATGTACAGTCCAGATGCATTTCGGTAGGGCATTATATTTTGCTTGAATTTTCTCACCACCAATCAAGCCTAAGGCACCATGCTGCCCTGGGAGCAGAAGGTGGGTGTCCCTCTGCCTTTTCCCCCTGGCAGCGGTGACACAGTGGCCGCTATCTTTCAGAGCCTAATGGACAGCCAGGTATGAGACTGCAGTGACAAGGAACACAGGGCCTCATGAGATGGAGGGTGGAACTGGCCCTGTTCCCCGCCCTGACAAGGCCCCGAGTTGCCACCCACGAACGCCTCCTCAGGCTCTTGAACGACCACGATCCCAGAGGCACACCAACCAATCTCAGAATCCAGCGACTTTTGGCAGTAATCCCTTCAGACTTATTACTAGAATATCTGTAGCACTGTCCACCCATTGTTCAGCAATTTGCTCGAGCGGGCCCAGTAATGTCTCCATTGTGAGACTTTGTTGTTACTGTGTTTGGCGAATCGAGTATGTCACGGGGAGCGTGCTAGGCTTTGCCGTGCGGGCGAGATACTCTCAGTAGCTTGCTGGGCTCTCCAAGAGGGGAAGGGAAATTGAACCCGGCTTGGCAAGGCTGACCGCGTGCAATGCAAATGCCCTACTGCTGTGCTGAAATCCAAAATCGTGTGGCCGAGTGACATCATATGCTCTTCATAATCAGCAATAGAAAACGAATGATCTAATGACGTCTTTTAGGCAGGTCTGATTGTTGGGGAAAATTCCAAATAATAATGGTGGGTCTTTTGTCCTAATATTAAATGTGATCAATGTAGAGAGTAAAGTGGAAATCTGCCACATAGGCAGGGGGAGGGTTGGGGTGGAGTATACTGGGGTCCTTGGTGGTGGAAAATGTGCACTTGGTGAAAGGATGGGTGTTTGATTATTGTATGACTGACTTAAACTAAAAGAGAGCACCGCCAGGGGTGATTCCTGAGTGCAGAGCCAGGAGTAACCCCTGGGCATCACTGGGTGTGGCCCAAAAAGCAAAAATAAATAAATAAATAAACCCAGACTTTGGGGGGCTCTCTTGAATCTTGACAGCTTTCTTTTTCATTCATTCCATTCTTATATTTGTTTCAGTAATACTGATTAACTGTATTTCTTATTTCCTTCTTTCTATTATCCTTGACCTTATTCTGTTGTGCTTTTTTAGGGTCACCCCTGGCATTGTTCAAGGGTTACACCTGGCTCTGCACTCAGGAATTACTCCTAGTGATGCTTGGGGGACCCTGTGGGATGCTGGGGATCGAACCCAGGTTGGCGGCATGCAAGGCAAGCGCCCTCCCCACTGCGGCCCCTGTGCTTTGTAGCTGGAACTCTATGCTGAGCTTAGGAACATTCAGGGTTTGGCTTCCCCCGAGGACAGCTGGTCTGAAAATCCAGCTCCCCCGCGGCCATCAGGAGTCAGGCCAAGGCCAGCCCCTTAGCCTCAGCTGCCCACACCAACTGACCCGAGCACATGGGCTCCCTGCTGCTGGACTGTGAAACACACATTTAGGTGGCGCTTTAGTAAGCAAACAGAGCCGGCTCACGGCAAGGACCACGAGGCCCATGCCAGGCGTTATAAAGGGTTATGTGGGACCCTCAGAGGAACAGTATCCCACGCTATGCAAAATCAGGAAATAGCTGCTTGCTACCTTTCCAGAGAGATCTCCCAGGGTCCCCTTCACCTCATTAACAGCACCACATCGCAAAGGAGATGGGAATGCGTTGCCCGGTGGTTCGGCGGCCGGGCCAGGTGGACGGAAGCAGTGGCTGGGAAGGCCTCCCCGAGGACGGTGGTTCTCAGGCCTGAGGCCAAGGGGAATCCGTGGCGAGGTCCTGGGGACGGGTTCTCACAGAAGGTCAGAGGTACTGCCCTGGAGGGGACGGGCAGGAGAGAGGGCTCCCAAGTTGCCCCTCCCAGGTAAGATTTGCTACACCCGTCTTAATTTCCAGCCACACACTTAATAGGGGTAAACCTCAGAGCCGGAGAGAGCGCACAGCGGGGAGGGAGCTGCCCTGGGTTTGATCCCTGGCACCCCACATGGTCCCTAAGCCCAGCCGGGAGCAGCCCGATCCTGGTGATGGGACGGGTGCTGGGAAATTTTATACCTGAAACTTGATGATGAAGAACTTTGTAAATCATGCTCTCTCAAAGTTGTTTTTTTTTTTTTTAAGTGGAGGAGCACACAAATCTGGGCTGGGGATTAGCTCAGAGTGTAGGTACTGGTTTCGCATAGAGTCGTCCCAGGATCTATCCCTGCCACGACATGGTCCCCTGAGCACCACTGGTATGAGCCCAGAACAACAAAGACACGAGGAGGGGGCCGGAGCTCAGGAGCGAGCACTTGGGGGCAGGCGTGAGGGCCTGGGACCCCCCTCCCCCAGGCACTGCTGGCTGGGGAACATAAAACAAATACCAAAGCAACGCCCCTAAGAAAGGTGATTCTTCTCTGTCCTGTGGGGGAGAGAAGCAATGACCCCGACAGAATGAAGGAATGACAGTCTGGCTGCTATGGAGGCAGAGGTAGCAGCAGTCTAAGACGGGGGGGCTGGGGGGGAGGCCCTGCAGCCCTGCTGCGCCCCCCTCAACCTCCACACTCACCAAGTGCTCCAGGTTGTTATTTCTGAAGACTCTAAATCTTATGGATCACCCCATTGTCTGGATGGGGTTACGGCTGGATTCAGAATACATTACATTTGAAATGCCTCCGAGGTGCAGGGCTTCCGACTCTCCCGCTTTCAAGGCTGAGACAGAAACACTGCCCGGGCACCGAGGGCTCGTATCTGCCAGGCCTCTGTCGAGCTGCCCTGCTCACACACAGCCCCTCGCGCCCTCGGGAGGGCAACCCTCACACCAGGGATGCGGCGAGCGGGCAGCGATGCAGGCGGGAGGGACGCCTGGGTTCTGAGAAGCCACGCTCTCGGGCAGAGGCTCCCCTCCACACACTCAGTCTGTGGATTACAGCCCCATCTGTCAAATGTCCTTGCCCACCATTGCCACGGTGCTGGGGTGTCCTCTGGGGTCCGTGAAGGTGTGCCTGGCTGCTGGAAGCCCAGGTCCAGCGTACGCGCCAGGCGCCTGGGGCTCTCTGGGCCTGTGGGACATGCTCGGCCTTCCGGAACTCTCACTCGCGTCTGCTCCTAGCGTTGGCCCGGGCACCCTCTTGGCCTCCAACCTTCGCCCGCTGACCTGCTGGGGTGCTTCCTGCCTTCCACCTCCCGGCAGCCACCGAGGCTTGTGTGTGGCCACAGGATCTTTGCCCCTGAACCAAGCGGCGGATCACACCTCCTGGGCCTAAACGAGCAATGGGGCTGCTGCCCTGTCCCCCTCCACCCTCTCTGGGTGGCCCCGAGCGGTAGTATCTGGGAGAGCATTTCTGCGCAGCCACCACAGCAATCAGGCCTTTCCCTGCCCTCCCCTCAGGTCCTGGGTTCTCCCGGTCTTGCCCGAAGCGTTACGTTCTTACACTCTCAATTCTGACTTCAAGGGGCCGAGTTCTTCACACTGAACTCGGACCATCTGAGTGCAAACCCTTCTTAATGTCAAGAAACACAAGCTTCCCAGGACTCTGCAGCCTTTTCTTAGTCTCCCCTCCAGAGAGAAGGCTGATTTGTACATTCTGACAGCATACAGTTGTGTAGAATTCTGGAAAGATCCATGCTGTTTTTGCTTTTAATGGAGCACATCTGGCAGTGCTGGGGATCAAACTCAGGGTCTCAAATAGTAGGCTGTGCCCTGCTAATGGAGCGCATCCCCCAACCCCTCTTTTTGATTTCTGGGTCATACCTGGCCGTGCTCAGGGATCCCTCCTGGCAGGGACGGGGTGGGGGGGGGCGCTGCATATAGGTGTTGGGGGCTGAACCTGAGTGAGCGGCGTACGAGGCCAGCGCCCTCCCACTGGACTATGGCTCCCGTCCCACAGGACATCAAAGTCACTTTAGCTGGAGACACCAGGTGCAGTGACCTGCAAGGCTGCTCCACGGGAAGGAGCAGAGAACAGGGCAGGGGCGGGCGGTGGGGGCCCCGGCTGCCCGCGGGTCAGGGCTCAGAGCTGCACCCGAGGACAGAGCCCCGTGAAGCGCTGGGACGTGGATTCCTGCTGTGTCCCGCGACAGGGCCGCTTCCTGTGTGTGCCCTGCTGTCCTCACTCATCCTCCCCAGCCTCGCCGCCACGGGGGTCTCCTACCCCGCCCCCACCCCCCTGCCCCTGCCAGCCCTCCCGAGCCCCCGCTACCATGCGCAAGGTAACTGGGGAGCTGCCAGCAGGACGAGCATCCCTGGGGTGCCAGAGCTTCTGGGAGAGCCTCGAGCACCTGCTGCCACCACAGCGTGGGTAAGCGTGGCTTCCTTCTCCCTTGGAAGGAAGCGTGTCCCCCATTCTGGAAGGTTCTAACTCTCGGCAAGGGGCTGAGTGGGCTGCAGGGCCTGCATGCACTCCTGCTATGGGGCTCAGGGGACAGGCTCCCGGGCCCCCAGCTTGCTGGTGCCTCTTTTCCAGAAAGACCCACGAGGAAGGCTGCTCTTGGCGGAGCCCCAGCAGCCCGAGGCCTGGGGCCCCTGGGGGCTGTGCTCTGGGCAGCTGCAGGCACACCGGCTCACACCGGGGCTTTAGGGGGGCGCTCCCCGTGGGTGAGCACCGTCCCTCCAGGGCTCGGACCCCGTGAGGACGGGGCAGCTGGCCACACGTCAGACCGGAAGCCTGCCTGCGGGAGGCGGAAGGAAAGGACGCGCTTACCTCCCCTTGGAAGCTCTTCAGCAGCGGGGCTACCTGCTTGCGTAGATCCTGGGGCGAGGGGGGAGGGTCAGGAAACAGCCGTCCGGGAAGAGAGAAGAGAGAGAAACATTCGTTAGGGCCCCCAGGGAGGGCTCGGAGCTCTGGGTAGGCCCGGGGTGCTGCTCTACCTCCCCAGAAATGGGCACCAAAGCTCCCCGCGCCTCGACAGGCACCAAAGCACTCGGGGAACGGCTGCCCAGGGGCTCCCACCGGTCTGCATCTGGGCTAGAGTTGGGCCACCGCCCAGCCTGGTTTCCGGCTGCCCCCGAGCAGAGAGAGCATGAGGCGCACCTGGAGAGCCCACACCGGATCCCCGTTGCCAGGCCCGCCCCCTACAGGGAACGTCCGGCGCCAACGCTGCCTGCGTGCCCTGTGCGGGCGTCTTTCATGAGGGGATGGGCACTGCCATGCCTGACGCGGGAGCACAAACGTTGAAGTGCTAAGAGACGAGATCGTCACTGTGCCCAGCACGGACAGGAGCTGGGAACTCTGGGTGAGGTAACGGCTCCAACAGTGCCGCGGGGACAACCGCGTCACCACCATCACCGCACCATGCACATGTTCTGGCAACCCTGTCCGCACATGCACCGACTTGGAAAGGTGCTTCTGAACCCCCTGGAAAGGACTCAGCCAGGGCGACTCAGCTCCGCGGGGAAGTGGGGCCGCAGGGGTCTGCCACGGGCCAGACAGACCAGATGCAACAGGTTCAGACCCAGGCCCTGCGCTGGCTGGTGCTGCATGGCTGACAGGTGGGGTCGGTAGACATGCACCCACCATTCGTGACCCTCAAGACCAAGAGCCCATGCCCGGGGATAGACGTGGGGAGGGGCCAGCAACGTTGACTAGGCTCACGCAGGGTTTTCCTTTCTTTTTTTTTTTTTTTTTGAGGGCTGGTGGTGTTTGGGGCCACATCCGGCGGTGCTCAGGGCTCTGCGTGCAGCGATCCTTCCTGGTGGGGCTTGGGGGACTCTATGGGGTGATGGGGAGGGAAGCCGGGATCAGTGACATGGGGTCTAGTCAGAACTGGGGTTGGACTGTGTGTGCTCTCTCTGTGTCGAAACCATGACCCCAGCTCCATCCCTGCGACCACCCTGAAGGACAGGCAGTGAGGGCACGGCTCAAGACGGCCTCACTACCCCCCCCTCCCCCACCAAGTTTTGAGCTCCAGGTTCTGCAGGGCTGTCCGGGCAGTGGCACCACGGGAGCTCCTGTGCCCACAGCCCTGAGCACCACACAGGGCCCCGGAGTGGGCTCCTACCTTTGTGGGGCAGAGAAGAGCCTTGCCGAGAGCACTAGAGCAGAATGGGGGCTGGATCACTAGAGCAAAGGTCCCCCCGCACCTGGCCGTGCCCAGGGCATCAGCACACATGACAGCGTCTGTGCCTTCCGGCTCACAGGCTCGGCTCTCTGGCCCGCCTGCTTCACATCTTCTGAGCTGGACTGGGTGGGAGGGGCGGGAATGGGGAGCTCACCCCCACCGGGCAGTCAGGGGACAGCCCTGGAAATGTCTCTCCACAAGGAGGTGCCCTGCCCCCCGCCAGACAGACCTCGGGCCAACACCCACCCTTTATCTCCAAACAGAGATCTGAAAACGCTTTCGGGCAGATTCGCAGCCCCGCGCAGTGTTGGGCAAAGCGCCGACCTCACAGCTCTGATGGGGAGAAAGTGCTCTGAGCTGATCCTGTGACACTGACATTAGCTGACTCAGAAGATGGCAAAATGCGTCAGAGCAGAGGGTCAGGACCGATAAGCAGGGCGCAGGCAGCAGGGGCGGGAATCCCAGCCGCGGGCCTGGCCACGCGCCCTCTGCCTACCGACAGGGCAGTCCCCGTTGCCAGATAAGACACAAACCCGGCCATCCCTGATGACATGGTCACTGGGACCAGAGCACAGGAGGGATCATTTCCTTTCACACTAGCCAACTGCAAGAGAATTTTCTTTCTTTTGGAGAAGTGGGGCGTGGGGGACTAAGCCCCACCCGGTGATGCTCAGGGCTTATTCCTGGCTCTGCACTTGAAGACAGTATGGGATGCGGGGGATCAAACCCGGAGTTCAAGGCAAATGCCACTGTACTATTTCTCCTCTCTTATATCAGATATAAGATATAATGTGATATAATTTTCTTAAAGAAAAACAGTAAAATTCAATTTATTATCCACACAATAATATCCAGGTGTAGATAGAAGTATCAAGACATAAATAAAAAATTAAAGTAAAAAACTGAACAAAACTGCAGCTTTCCTAAAAGCAATGGCAAACTGATGATTTTTTTCTGGCTCAAGGAGAAAGGAATGACCCTTCCAGACTGGACCAACGATCTGGAGGCCGATTTCCTGAAGCATCCCCTGGGCCGTGGGAACCATCGGATGGGGCCTCCTGGCCAGCCGAGAGACCTGCTCTCTCTCCTAGACGCAATGCCTCAGTCATCTGTCTCGGGTCAGGACCCGGTGGCCTCTCTGGGATGCGCTGAACTAGGTGGGACGCTCAGAACACGGCAGACAGTCCCCGTGTGCTCGCGTTTCTGAGGAAGAGCTTCCCCTATCTTATGTTCTGGTTTTGGGGTGCCCAGCTGTCCTCCAGATGACTCCTGAGGAGAAACAGCTCGGCTCAGTGACCAACCAACTCCTGGTGGTGCCAGAGACCGAACTGGGGTCAACTGCGTGCAAGCCAAGTGCTCCCCGTACAACCCTGTACGATCGCTCTGGCCCTGTTCTGGGTATTTGGGTTCCATCCGGTCCCACCCATGGATCAGGGTCTGTCCTGGACAGTTCTCGGGGGACCACCTGGCACTGGTCATGTACCCTGCGCAAAGATCACACACTCAGCCCAAGCTGTCTCGGGCCCTAAGTCTGCTCTGTTCCAGGATCCTGACCTCTCCTCTCTTCCCTCTCATCCTTGGCAGCTGGTCACTCGCTGTGGAGGGCTACCAGCCACCATGGGCACCTTGGCAGGCAGGCACGCGTGCCTCCAGTCTTTGTGACAGAACAGGGGGTTATTAAATGGCCTCTAAACCAAAGTGTTAAATAAAAATACCTTTCTCTACCACAGCAGACAGGAGTGTGTCCTGCAATTTCTCAAAGACTTTAGTTCACAGATTTGAGAAAATTCCATTAGCTTTAATTATTTATCAGCAGTCAATTTAGATTACTCTTCTTGACCTATTTTTATCATGGGTAGGCCACCCAGCAACGGAATAAATGAATAGTCCTTTTCTACCACGGTTGATTTTCTGAAATAACAGAAATCTAGTTTAAAGAAGGAATGAAACCCCAAACATGTAATTACCACAATACATAACCCGCCACGCCGCCTTTGTAGCTGGATAAAACGCACATCCTTGTGAGTTTTTTTGGTTATTAAATAAGATTATCTTGAAAGGGATAAACTCACTCATGCTATAATTTCTTCCCATTTACATTTCTGTGCTCCATTTACAACATGTTCTGTATCTTGGCAGAAAGTCCCCGATGCTGATGGCTGCGCCCGCAGCTCTTGCCCCCAGAGTGTGGGGCAGGAGGGTGCAGGGCTGGGGCACTGGGGCCTGGTGCAGGCACCCCAGGCAGAGGAGGGCGATCCCAGGAGCCAGGGTGGAGCCCCCCAAGTCCTCCAGAAGAGTGAGGCGGGGACCTGGGGGGCGATGCCGAGTGGCAGGCTGGGTCCGTGGCGATGACCGTCTATGAACAAAGGCAACAGCGGCCGAGAGGCAGAGGGACAGGCTTGAGTCCCGGGAAGCTGCAGCAGCAGGGTTGCTGGGGGTCCTCTGAGCATCTGGAGTCCCAGTTTCCTTACAAGGCCGGCACGACTCGCCTCTCAGATGTGGACTGTGCCACACTTGCATACGTGTGGCCTTAGAGTTTCTGTTGGAGGTGGGCAGGGAGCCAGGGGCCCTGGGAAGTGCGATGACCTTACTTATATAAATGTAAGGAACAGACACTTGGCAGGTTGTGATTTGAGCAGCAGAGGCTCAGCCGGCCGCCCTCACCTGGAGGGAGCAAGAGCCCTGGGTTGCCAGGGCTTGTCTAGGGGGCAGGGGCCCGGGCGGGTGGGGAAGCTCTCAGCCCGGCCCGGGTGTCCAGGCTACTGTCTCAGCAGACACATCCGCCTCAGCTGACCTTCTCCTTCTTCTCTCCTTGTCTGTGTGGGGAGGGCCCATACCCGGCGATCCTCAGGGGCCACTGCTGACTCTATGTTGAGGAATCCCTCCCGGCAGGGTTCAGGGGACCATATGGGGTGCTGGGGAGGGAACCCAGGCGGGCTGCGTGCGAGGCAGGTGCCCGCCCTGCAGTACCATGGCTCGGGCTTCTGCGCTCGTCTTTCATTTACTGGGAACAGGCTGTGGATGGATCTACACAGAAACACATTCAGCATGTGTCTGAGAGGGGAGAGGTAGATTAGAAGCGAATCTTATGGGAGGACCGAGGTTTCTGGGTTACTGACTGGCAGCAGAGTGAAGGGGCTCCCACAACCCACCTCCACCCTGGAAGCTTGGGGAACTCAGTGAAGACTCCAGGACAAAAGGAACAGTTACTGTCCTCAGACACGTCCCAACTGATGCGTGGGGAAGCTTCGGCCAAAGGGCCAAAGGGCTGCCTGGGTTCCGTGCCCCGAGTCTGCTGCAGGGCCAGCAAGTAGCACCCTACTTTGGCCACACCCTCACCCTCTTCCCCCGTAACTTACTCCCAACCCGGGCCTTGCTAACATCTGGACAAATGGGCGACCCTCCTGCAGAATGCGGAGCGAGCTGCAGGACCAGCGGCACCACCCCCAGCTGTTCTCCGCACGGATGAGCCGAGACGAAGGGGGGATGCTCCAGGAGACGGAGCAGCTCGTCCTTGGGTGGGGGGAGAGGGGTCTCAGGGCAGCCTGCAGACAGCCAGGCTGGCAGGGGGCGGTGAGCTAAGTTCAGAAGGCAAGCAGGGGCAACACGCTGGGGGCCAGCCACGGGGCCAGCCACGCCAGAACATGGCAGACAGAGCTCGGCAGACCTGGGACCAGGGTCCACCACCAGC